ATTGAGCCCCACCGCTAACCCACTACTACCTCAACCTGTCCCAAGTAACACCCTTTTTCCTAGTACATTGCCCAATGTTGGAACAACGGCAGAGGATTTAAATTCTCTGAGGAAAAACAAGCCAGCCAGTGTAACTGCTTTTGAAGCAAAGAGCGCATCTGATGAGGCATTCTTCAAACACAAGTGTAGGTTCTGTGCAAAGGTCTTTGGCAGTGACAGTGCCTTGCAGATCCACCTTCGGTCTCATACGGGTGAGAGGCCATTTAAATGCAACATTTGTGGAAACCGGTTTTCCACTAAAGGGAATCTTAAAGTTCACTTTCAACGCCACAAAGAAAAATATCCTCACATTCAGATGAATCCATATCCAGTGCCAGAGCATTTAGACAACATTCCTACAAGTACAGGAATCCCTTATGGGATGTCAATACCACCTGAAAAACCTGTAACCAACTGGCTGGACACTAAACCAGTGTTGCCTACACTGACTACTTCTGTTGGGATGCCCCTCCCACCAACCATTCCCAACTTAACACCATTTATTAAGACTGAGGATCCCCAGCCTTTTGCTATTAGTCAGCCACTGGCTAGCCCATCAGATTCAGTAAAAAGTGATTTGACAAATACAGAACCACTAGTTAAAAAAAATAGCAGTCTTCCAGAAGATGTTGAACCCATTGACTTGCCCAGCTCAGAAGATAAAGGTGAAGAAAATTCACAGCAGTCAAATACCTTTCAAAATTATAATAGTGCGGACTGTTCTCCTGCAGGTGAATCTGGTTGTACCAATACTGCAACTTTTCCTAACCCACTTCTACCATTGATGTCAGAGCAGTTCAAGGCAAAATTTCCATTTGGAGGTCTTTTGGATGCAGCACCTGCATCAGAGACTTCCAAACTGCAACAGCTTGTAGAAAACATTGACAAAAAGTCTAGTGACCCCAATGAGTGTGTCATTTGTCACCGGGTATTAAGCTGCCAGAGTGCCCTGAAAATGCATTACCGCACTCACACTGGAGAAAGACCCTTCAAATGCAAAGTATGTGGCCGTGCTTTTACAACAAAAGGTAACCTGAAGACCCATTACAGTGTGCACCGTGCCATGCCACCACTTAGAGTACAGCATTCATGTCCTATTTGTCAAAAGAAATTTACCAATGCTGTTGTTCTGCAGCAGCATATCAGAATGCATATGGGTGGACAGATTCCAAATACTCCTGTTGCTGAAAATTATCCTGATTCTATGGAATCTGATACAGGTTCTTTTGATGAGAAAACTATTGATGATCTAGACAACTTCTCAGATGAAAATATGGAAGATTGTCCTGACAGCAGTGTCCCTGATACCCCAAAATCTGCAGACGTGTCCCAGGATAGTCGGTCTTCCTCCCCAGTACTCAATGCAGTCTCAAGTATTGCTGCTTTGGAGAATCAAATGAAGATGATTAGTGCTGGACTAGTAGAGCAGCTTCAGGCCAGTCTGAAGTCAACAGAAAATGGCTCTATCGAAGGTGATCATATGACTAATGACTCTTCATCCCTTGGGGGAGATCTAGAAAGCCAGAGTGCTGGAAGCCCAGCAGCTTCAGAATCTACATACTCCATGAATGCTTTGTCACCTAACAGCACAAATGACTTTATGAAATTCCCTAACACAGAAGAGAAACAGCAAAAAGCTTTACCACCTGAACTTCCTAATGGAATGTCTCCAACCCATGCTAATGGTGGTGCCCTTGACTTGACTTCCACTAACACCGATAAAGCGGTCAAAGAAGAACCTTTGGGTTTGCTATTTCCATTCAGAGAACGGAGTAAGTTTAAAAACACAGTTTGTGATATATGTGGAAAAACATTTGCATGTCAGAGTGCCTTGGACATTCATTACAGAAGCCATACCAAAGAGAGACCATTTATTTGCACAGTCTGCAACCGTGGCTTTTCCACTAAAGGCAATTTGAAACAGCATATGCTTACGCATCAGATGAGAGATCTACCATCCCAGCTTTTTGAGCCCAACTCCAATTTGACCACCACCACCACTAGCTCAATATCAAACCCAGCAACCAATCCGCTAGCTGCCATCATAAAATCTGAATTTAATGGTTTCATACATGGCTCACCTCAGGACAACAAGGAACAACCTTCAAGTATTACATCTTCAGGATCTTTATCTTCTTCAGCCACGTCTCCTGCTCTCCTTCCATCCTTGGCTAGAAGGACTCCCAAACAGCACTACTGCAATGCGTGTGGCAAATCTTTTTCATCTTCCAGTGCTTTACAAATCCATGAGCGAACCCACACTGGTGAAAAACCATTTGCGTGCACCATATGTGGCAGAGCCTTTACTACAAAAGGGAACCTTAAGGTAAACATTTTATTAAAACTTTGTTTTGTCAATAATAAATGCTGGCATGCTAATCTCCACCTTCAAACATTTTCTGAATTCTATCTCAGTCTTAACTGGTTAAAATTAACATTTGGCAAAATGCCATTTTTCTGAGTGATGCAACCCATAAAAGCATCAGCAGCTGAGAAATTGTTAGACTATAATGGTGGTGGCCTTAAAGGAAACCTGTATTAAGAGAACTATAGATGCTGCTGTTGCCTTTTGAAGTTGCTAGTTCCTGACTGTCTCTGGCATTAGACACTGGCCTGGAACAAGCATGCAGATCAGAGGAGTAGGTTGGTTATCTTAAGACTAATCTCCATCTGGTTTTCATTGTTGCATGTATCCCCATTAGAGATTTGTAGTAGTGACTGGTGACACCAGATCAGAAAGAGACGGGAAATCCTCTAATGGGAGCTCTCAGTTGTCTGATGGGAATTTCCTTCCTTCATTTTGGAGGAATTCCCTCTCCCTTTCCAGTTGTGTATACTGGACTTGAAGTGAAGGGATTAAACTGATTGGACTATTTGGCTTTAAATTTAAGTCAGAAATCCTAATTTGCATACTTCTTGCAAATCCTAGTTGGAAGCCAACTGGATCCACATTACAACCAGGGAACAAGTGTTTTCAGAATAGCATGTAAGCAATAACTGTTTCACTACGGGTATGTGAAGTCCACCACTTTTGCTCAAGCCTGCATTCCAAAGCCGAAAGGCTTTTATGCTTTTGCTTTGCCAGTGAGGGCACTTCATTATCAACTGAGACCTTTTAGGCCTAATTTGTGGTTAATGAATCCTTTGACCATGAAGAATATGCCAACTATTGCTTGACACATTTTAATTTTGATGCTTAGAATTGACTTTCAACCTCTTAAAAAGAAAAGCCTTCTCTACTAGAGTCTTCAGGGTTAGTTGATCATTATGGTGTGCACCCTAACAAAAATTGGTCAAAAAAAGAGTTGTTGAAAGGACAAAATGACTTTTTTTCTCTTACCTGTTGTGATCATTTTGTTTTCTGAAGGAAAAAAATCCTTACAGGTGAACAGCACATTATAAAAAGTTAAGCATTACAGTCCAGGAGGGTGGTGGCCATTGTTTAAGGATATGCAGTCAATTATGCCTTTTTTCTCCTTTTTAGATATGTCCATAGCAGGGGTGGACTGACCATTTGGAAACTCGGGCACTGCCCGAGGGCCAGGGTCAGTAGGGGGCCCCATGAGATGCCCCCGGTACCTTTTTTATAGGCTTTTTTTAGTTTGAGCAAGGACACAGGGGTCCCATGATCCCCTATTGCCCGGGGGCCCCATGAGTTGTCAGTCCACCCCTGGTCCATAGAACATTTCCTCTGGCCAAATTTAGGTCATTTCATCAAAAAGCAAATGATGAAAGTGGACAAGTCATAAATAGGTTGCCCATCAGTTTAGTTCATAGGGATTTTTGGTCATCTTCCTCTTTGTTGGTCCAGGTCAAATATGGAGAAGGGTTCAATTTACTTAATATACACCCATTTACTTATTGTACTCCTTTCAAATGTTATGCCAGCAGTTGCTAACTAGAAGTGCACTTTGCAGCAAAAACTAATGCTGTGTGCACAGTGTTTGCTTAAACCATGCCTTTTACTAGGGCATAACAGCTTCTGGTTGATGGTTTCCTCAAAAATGACATGCACTATATAGGTATCTTATTTTCTACTAACTAAAGCCATTTCCCTTCTCTATTTTTCTTGTTAAATGTGGTGACTGTGTTCATCCTGCTGCCATTTTCCCAGAATATTTTGTTGGTTCCTTGCTCTTTGGCCTTTATGAAATTGATCCCGTTATTAAATTCACTAAACGTACAAGGGATAGTGCTTTTTATTGTTGATTTTCAGTACCATCCATTCCGATATAATGCTTGTCTGTACATTAAATGTACTTTTGGATAGCTATTCTCCTCCTGGGCATAAGATTTACACTTTCTTTATAACGATTTAAAAAAATATATATATATTTCTAACATGCCAAACCTAGCCAAAGATCAGCATATTGCTCAAATGTGTATGGTACTTGTAAGTCCACTGTGTAAAAACAAACTATTGCTGTATATTCTATAATTCAACTAGGCTTGCTTATGTCTGTATTACCATTCTTTTTGTAATTTTTGTGTTTTTGTTCCCACCTTTTTTTCTTAGATAGTATGTGTGAGTTGCTCTAGTGAAGCATAACAAAGTGAACCCAGTGAGTGCTTGATATGAGGTGCTTCACTTGGTTTCTATTGACTATTCTAGTAATAGTCTATTTCTGCTTCTTCAGACCTTCTCTGTAAGGTAGCTTTGGGATAATACAATTTTCTTATGTGTCTAAAACATTTTTTTAGTTCAGTCATAAAAACAAGGAATCTGTCCGATGGCAAGCTCTTAGTCCTGCAGCAGTTCAATTGCTGTCAGGGTTTCAATGGAATGGTACATTTCCTCTGAATGCAGCCATATTGTGAATAATTATTAGAATTTTTCAGTATGAATTGAGCTTTTGTCACTTCTCCATATCTGAACACTAAAAGATGACATGTATGGCTTTTTTTTATCCTATCCTTATCTTGCTATAAAGCCCTGATCGTCTTAGTTTGAGTTAGAGATGACACAACAGTTGTAATTCATAAAATTTTTGGAGTCCTGTACGGTTTGTTTTTTTTTTTCTTCCAAAGCTGGCGTGTGTGTGTGTGTGTGTGTGTGTGTGTGTGTAAAGGTCCATTTTTTTTTTAGTTTGAAGTTCTTTATAGCATAATGTCATCTTTTGTTTAAACACTTCTTCATTCAACCAGTTTTAGTAAATCTGTCCAGTAAAGCAATGCTTGCCTTAAAAGAATTCCATATACATTTGTTGATCTTTTTTGACCTGTCCACCTTAGAATAATTCTGTATTAACTTTTCAGGACAATGGTTGTCTGTTTTAGACAAGCCAGTTTACTGGGACAAGTTTTCAATTTTTGAAAAAATGGTTAGTGAATAAGTGGTAAAAGCAGATTGCAAAGTGGTGGAAAGTTGCACGGTATTCAGATGGTAACTAGTGTTAATGATCTTTGTTCTATCCAGTTTTCCTATCTGAAAAAACTAAACTCTTGGGGGGGGGGGGGGGAGAACCTACAAACCTCCCAATTACAGGTAATAGACTTTACTAGGTGAGACTAGGCTACTTCCCCTAAAGAGGTAATAGACTTTACTGGAAGTGACTAGGTAAATTCATAATAAAATAATTTGCTGGTGATGGAAAAACCTCCAAGTTATTTGGGGCCCTTTAGGGGTGATAGAGGAATTGAGAATGAACTGTAGCTAAAATTTCTATTTTAATAAAGATTTACTTTGTCACTTGTAGCTTTTTTAAGCTGTCTGCAAAGAATAGAACATAGTTTTTACCGTCTAAATGTCATCTAGGATTGTAATTTTCAAAATATTTTTTGCCTAAATTTAACATTACATTTTTAGGGCAAATATTTTAGCCATCTCACTTTTAGTAACTTTGTTTTTGTTCAGATTGTTGTACAAGTGTTTTTTAATATAATAAATAAGTTCAATTCTACTAGCTCTTAATGAGTTCTGCTTTTCGCATGTATTCCTAAGGTGCCTGTTGATGTGAGATGATTATCACCTCAGTTGACAGATTACAGCCAGCTCAGAAAATGATTGTATGTCTGTGAGCACTCTCCAACCCAACCAGACTTTGCCTGGCCAACCAGTGTTTGCAGTGGGGGGATTAAGCGGCTGAGATGATTCCCACCCTCTCCTCAGCTGTTCACTATTCTCCTATGACAGTTCAGGGATGCTCTGTAGATAAATATGTACGCTATGCCAGTAAACATGCATGTTTTATGCTTCGATACTTCTAAAGAAAGATCATTCAGTTTGACCTTCTGACAGTTCTCTCATGTTTATGGGTACCTTTTACAAAAGGATAGTTGTTGAATGATTTTTCAGTGATGCCAGGAGGTTGTTGAGAGCTAGGGCTAGTTTTGACTTGATTTTCGATGCGTCTGTGTGGGTTTTTGTTTTTTTTTTCTCTCCCCCCCCCCCCCCCCCCCCCAATGTCTCCGTAAACCGTTCTATTAGTTGCTCTTGTCCGTGGTTATGGTAAAACAATGCCAATTCCCATCAATTTATTAGATCTGCCAGGAAACCCCTGAATTTACTGAATGTCACTTGTCCATTTTCTTTTTTATAAATTCATTTTTATTATGACAGGGCATTCATTGAAAATATATATATATTTTTTTTTTCTGCCTTTAAAAAAAAAAAAAAAAATTGTAGGTTAATGAGCAAAATCCAATAAAAATGTAGAAATGACAAAACCAGAGTGATTATGCAGACAATGGGGGAAATGCATGGTTTGCTATACAAAGATCCAAAACTTAATTTTAGTGTAGAAGCAGGTGATTGTAAAATGCCCCCCCCCCCAAAAAAAAAAAAAAAAACCCCCAAAACTTGCAATTTAAGTGGTAAGTGATGGAGTTTTCATTTTCTAAATTAGAAAAAGGGGAAGGGGGTTTATAAAGGAGATCATATGCTTCCAACGCTGTTTGAAAATGGTTTGCGACGTTGGTTTCACACATACGAAAGTAACTTTGCTTAAGTCAAATCCTGAGCATGTGTAGTAAGATAACGGTGTTGCAGCACAGCCGAAAAAAAAAATTGCTTTTACCTTTTTGAAATGCTTTTGCATGCTAGACAGCAGTGTTGCTGCTTTCTATTTTTGTCTTTTGGTAGCAGAAAGCTGTATAGTAAGTCTTGAATGCTCAGCAATGCTCTGTATTTAAACACTGCAGATAATTATTCAAAATGGCCAAGCTTAGAGGGACTGTTGTCTTACGTTTTAACATCTTGAGCACTGTCGGATTTAGGAATTTAATTAATTAGAAATCTGTCTAGGTGCTATATTTTTTTTTTTTTTCCCTTGGTGATGGTGTCCTTTTAAGAAAACAAAACCTAGGTCATCGTGATGACCCATTTCATCAGAGATCTTTGCATTTGGTTAAAAAGGGTCTGTTGCAGCAATGTGTGGCAACATGATTTTACTTTTCTTTACTGTAGAGCAGTCAAAACAAAGATAGATTGATAGAGAACACTTTTCATATAGCTTTTGCCCT